TGACTGAAAAGGGAAACCAGCACTCCATCTGTCTTTACAAAAACACTTTCACTTCTGTTTTGGAACCAAATCTTTTAGAGTATAACATGCCTTCTCCAGAAAACAACCCAATCTGCTCAGATTCGTATGATTTTTTTCTTTATATGCACCATGAGAAGTAACTATATTCTTCAGAGTTCTCAAAAGTCCCATGGTCCGGTGGATAGCTACGTCAACCTATTTAACGGACAGACTGGGAACAGACTGGCCAGGATGGGACTCGCTAGAGTAGGTCCTTGGGTCCAGACACTAGTCTGAATCTTTATGTTTCTGTCTTAGAAATTCCTACAGAACCAGAAGCTTTATCTCCCAAGCCAAATACCACAGTGGCCTCAGAGACAGCTCTTGTGCCAGGTTCCCAGCTGGCACCATCCCAACCACCTTCTGCAGGAACCACAGGGACAGGCAGTCATGAGTCTTCTCAAGCCCCATCTCCCACAACAGCAAAGACCCTGGAGCCTTCATCCTCCACCTCCCTCAGGACACCAGGTTAGCCCCAACACTGCACAAGGACAGGCCATTTCTTCGCACGCTGCTTCTGAGACCTGAGTTCAGATATGGTCCTGGGCAACTACACTAGCTTTGACCACTCAGCCTCAAATTGGGACTGACCGAGCCACCCTGCTGCCCTCTGCCTCCCACCGTGCTTGCTTGGTCTGTGTGGTCTGTGTTCCCCACCGGAGGGATAGCCAGGAAGGAGACCTCACCACGCAGATAGGACATGGCTTATTGACGCGCATCATGAAGGGTGGCAGGAGCATGTGGCACTGTGGAGCCAAGGCCCAGGGACTGGAGAAGTCAGTGGCAGTTGCTCCCTTCTGAGGCATGGCCAATTCTTAGGTATGATAAAGCACCTCGGCAAGTTATACTGTTTGGTTTTTGAGAAGACCAGTTTGGTTATGCCAGCTGCAGGTCTCTTGTGGTCCTATGATAGGAGCTAATCTCTCCAGCTTCCTGAGAAGCTAGTGCCCTTGGGGCTCCAGCCCTGACTCATCTCTCCTCTCTCTTCCACAGGGGTTTCTCCACACAGCTCCAAAACGATAGCTGGTGAGTTCTTTCCTCTATCCGGTGTTTATAGCCAGGATGACTGCAGAGCAGACCCAGCAGCCCTGATCCCCAACACAATCCGAGGCAGCACCTCCTTTCTCTCTCACAAGTGTCTCCATCTGAAAACAAGTTATACAGTAGTAGCTTCTTACTGTCAGACTAGTGAAACTGAAACCAGAGAGTTAATGCACCTCAAAAAAGAGCTGCATGGTCCAGCTACTGCTCACAGTTCTGCCCCTGCAGGCTCCACTCATGTCCAGGGCACACCAAGAAGCCTGCTGCTGCCTCTAAGATGATTCACTCTGCCACCAGCTGCGTGGCCTGCCCCCAGGCTGGGGCACCGTGCACTGCCCAGATAGTCCAGACCGCTCTGTCTGAAAGATTTCTGTTTACAAAAGATGCTCAGCGTTACGGTTAGAAGAAGAACGTACAAACGATATATAAGGAGGGAAGTAGAAAAGTGTGAAAAGGAAAGGATGAAGAGAGGAGAGCGGAGCTTGGAGAAGAAAGAAAAGAACAGGAGCCAGAAGGGAAGGCTGGGGTACGGCTCAGTGATAGAGCACTTGTTCAGCAGGTACAAGGACGAGTTTGAACTCCAGCACCCCAAGAAAGGGGCGGGGCACAGAGAGTAAGAGAAAATCGAATACCTCAGTCTGACAAGCTTCTCAGGCTGGAGAGATGGCTCAGTGGAACAGAGCACTTGCTGCTCCTGCAGAGGAGTGAAGTCCAGTGCCCAGCACTCACATCGGGCAGCTCATAGCCACCTGTAACTCCAACTCTAGGGGATGTGATGTAGGCCTTCTTCTGGACTCTATGGGCATACATCCACACATACGTACAATTTTTTTTAAAAAAAAGGATGAAAGAATATGATTATAATTTAATATGGACAAAAATTCCTTCTGCTATTCGTGTTTTCCTGCTAGATACTGGTCCACATTTTGTGGTCTCATTTTACCTGCATAAAATGTCCTCTGGGAATAAAATGTAGATTTAGATATATCAGCTTTAGATAAAATGTAGCTTTAGATATATCGGCTTTAGATAGATCAGCGTCCCTGGAGGCTCACGGCTTCAGTTCCAAGATGGAGCCACAAGCCCCTCCTTCTCCAGCTAACTTCGCAGTCAATTCTCGGCAGCAGGCCCCGCCCCTTGGAGGAACCAGAACCCTTGGGGAACACATACATACAGATAATATGCTCATACACATAAAATAAAAATAATAAAATATTAAAAAAAGAAAACAGTAGATAGGCAGAGAGAGAGGACAAAGGTGACAAAGGCAAGATATTTTAGAAAAGCCGCTTGAAGGGTATCTTCACAGAAAAACTAGCATTTCATGACAAGGACTTGGAAACAGAAACATGTTCATGATGTGAGAGAACAGTCAAACCAATAGCCAAACCTATTTTTCTCTTGTGACATATAGCACACCCATCTTTCCACATAGTTTTGTGGTTTTTATTTGGTTTTCAAATTATTAACATCTTGCACATGGCCTGAAAATTGAAAGTTAAGCTGGGCATGGTGGTATATGTCTATAATCTCAGCACCCAGAATGCTGGGGCAAGAGGATTGCTGCGAGTTTAAGGTCAACCTGGACTATATGGTAAATACCAGGACGATCAGAGCTACATAACAACACCATGGCATAAACAAACAAACAAGCAAACAAATAAATAAATAAATGCAATAAAAACTTACCAAAGGGTGAACAGTACAATTCCCACCTCTGACTCAAAACATCCTCATAGAAAGGAAGCAGCCTTCTAAACAGTCTGTGTCAGAGAGGGGAATGTATGTGGATAGCTGTTCGTTTTATTATTCTGCATCTTTTCATTTACTGGTGTCCCTAGTTTTCTATTTGTTAGTGTGATAAAACACTGACCAAAAGTAACTTGGGGAATACATTCAGGTCATGATTCATTCTTGAGGGAATGACGTCAAGTGGAAGCTTAAATCAGAAACCGTGGAGGAATGCTGTTCGTTGGTTTGCTCACTGGCTCTCACTTAGCTAGTTATTTTTTAGCTCTCTCTCTCTCTCTCTCTCTCTCTCTCTCTCTCTCTCTCTCTCTCTCTCTCTGTGTGTGTGTGTGTGTGTGTGTGTGTGTGTGCTCTCTCTCTCTCTCTCTCTCTCTCTCTGTGTGTGTGTGTGTGTGTGTCTGTCTGTCTGTCTGTCTATATGTTCATGTAAGTGCAGGTGCCTGTGGAGGTCTGAACTGTCAGATCCCCTGGAACTGGAGTCATAGACACCTGTGAGCCACTCCATCAAACTTTGGTCTTCTGTAAGAATAATACATACTCTTTACCACTTAGCCATCTCTCTGGTCCCATTAGCTAGCTTTCCTATACAGCCTAGGACCACCTAGCCAGGTAATGGTGCAGCCCACAGGACACTGGGCGCCCTAAGTCAATTAATAATCAAGGCAGTTCCTCACAGACACGCCCACAAACCAGTCTGAACTGGGAAATTCCTCAGCTGAGGCTTCCCCTCTCAAATGACTCTAGGCTGTGTCACACTGACACATGCCAGACACTGGCATGTCTTGGAAATTGTATGTATCAGTACATAAATGCCACTCACTCTCTTTAATGGGTCCAGAATAATCTATCTACAACCATGCAGATCTGAGCACAATTTATTTAGCCAGTCTCTTCTTTGGACATGTGATTATTTACCATCTTCATTTATATTACAAACAATAACTAATTGGAAACTCATAGGTATATTTGTTGGATGGATAGAATTCTACATGTAAATTTTTCTGCATAGATCTCTAAGCAATTTTAGATGTTAGGCTATAATCATCTATTTTCCAATTCATGACTTTCTCTAGATTAAAAGGTCAAAATTTCTCCCACCCTCTGAAATGCAAATCAATGAGCATTAACTAAACACATACAGTGGACAAAGATAATTCTGTGCAAGGGATGGTGGAAATACAAACTTTGCGGGGGAGGGGGGTCTTTTTTGAGACAGGGTCTCCCTTTAGCCCTAGCTGGCCTGGAACTCACTATGTAGACCAGGCTGGCCTCAAACTCACAGAGATCCACCTGCCTCTGCATCCCGAGTGCTGGGATTAAAGGCGTGTGTCACCATGCCTGGCTTTGGAAATACATTATTTTTAATTTAATTTTTCCCATATAAATAGTTTTTCCTTAAGAATAGGTATATGAACAACTAACTATAAGAGAGGACAAAGCGTTGAAAGTGGGATACTGGTTTGCTTTGTTTTGTCTGTTAATAAGGTATAAGTTTAAATTAAAACCATACTAGTCTTCTAAAAGCATCTAGCAGGGCTGGAGAGGTGGCTCAGGAGTCAAGAGCACTGGCTGCTCTTCCAAAGGACCTTGGTTCGATTCCCAGTGCCCACATGGCAGCTATCAACTGTCCTTAACTCCAGTTCTAGGTGCCTCCATGGGCACTGCACACATGGGTGCACTTGCATAGATGCAGGCAAAACACTCATAGACATAAAGAGAAATAAAAATTTAAAAATAAATACATAAATAAAATAGTGACACTGCCTTCAAAGTGTGTTGCTCATAGGCCATCCACCCCACCACCCAAGAGCTGTGAATACACCACTGTGAGTCACACAGCCAGCCAGGTGCTCACTGGCCCCTTCCACACAGAGCAGGTGCTTTTATTTTATGAATGAGCAACCAGTTGAATTCATCTCTATAAGACAATATTAACAGTGCTTGACCATTGATGGTTTAATAAACCTATTGATACTATCAATTTCATAAGATATATTTTATTATTTTTGTTGTTTTATGCTAAGGATAGAACCAAGGGTCTCATACATTCTAGACAAGTACTCTACTACTGAGCTACATTCTAGCTCATAATTTTAAAAAATAAGTTTTACAAATGACTTTTTCTCTTATTAAAAGTTATTCTTGGGGCCTACAAGATGACTCAGTAGGTAAAGATACTTGTTGCTAAGGTTGGCTTCCTGAGTTCAGTCCCCAGGCCCCACATGATGAGAGGAAAGAACTTATTCCTCCAAGTTGTCCTCTGAACTGTTTCCCCACCACACACACACACACACACACACACACACACACACACACACACACAAGCACACACAATCAAATAAGTAAATGTAAAAATAATTAAGTTGATTTTCTTATATTGAATGAGTTAGCAAATGAATACCATTAACATTTCAATACATAGTTAAGCACTGTGGCTTATAGTTTCACTGGTTTTTTTTTTTTTGTTGTTGTTGTTGTTGTTTTGT